ACTGCCTCAGGCTACTCGTGGATTCTTCACACCAACTCAGATGCCACAAGTTCAAGCTAGTCCAAGATGGCAGGCTCAAGTCAGACAACCTGCACCAGGAGGAGGTGAGAAATAATATAAATATGAAGATGGTCTTGCGAGCAATTTCAGAATGCATTTCCCCTAAAAAAGCTAGTGATTGAGACACTGACTGACAATGGGGTTAGAGTTCGATCCCAGTGTTGCAAAAATGAAATGGGGGTTTAACGTCCTGTTCTGCTTCGACTAGATTAATGAAGACTGGCATACGCCATACATGTGCTATGAGTGAAATTTGGCCCGGGCAGTGGCACTTATATCAAATTACAACTGCCAAGGGATCTTTCGTGTGCATGCCAATGTATACAAAGGACCTTGTTTTTTCGTCCCATCCGAACGACTCCCAGTGTTGCCCCAAAAAGTTATGGAGGATTTTCTATCTTGGTATTTCGTTGTCTGGTGTAGAAAGAATGGCTTGTAAAGGTACAGTGACTAGTCGTTCGTATCGTACTAGAAAACAAGGGCCCATCCTGTGTAATGTTACTGGTTGCATTAAAGAACCCTTAGCAGCTAGAATTAAAACTTAATTATCCCCAACTGACTGCTGAAACCTACAGATCATGAAACTTTTGTAATAAAGCTAGCTTCAATGAAATTACCTTTCAATTAATTATAAAAACTAAGCCGTCTTGTAATTTGTCCAGGGGAAACAACTACATATAATATACAGTTCCTATGTCAGTTCAGACCACTAAAGAATAGTCCAACACACATTATGGAAATCATTGAATGAAATGTTTTATTTCCCAAATTTTCTTTCAGCAAGCTTCCAAGCTGTTCAAAGCAATCAACTTCGACCAGCTCGCTTCCAGGGTAGTGGACAACAGGGTGTAAGAGCTAACATGAACGCTCGACCTAAAACTGGACAAGCTGGTGGTCAGCCAGGTGGACAGAGAATGATGGGTCCAGGTATGCCACGAGGACCCCCAGGGGCTGCCGGTATGGCTGCACCCCAGAGAGGTGCCTTCAAATTCAACAATCAAATAGGAAATCCTCAAATGGGTCAACAGGTCATGTCACAGGTAAGGATCATATTGTTTAAATTTTTTATCTGTGTACACAATTCGTATGGTGAGAAAATTAATCCGGTGACAAAAAATATCATGGCATCTGGCAGTCTTTATTATAATATTTACGTTGTGTGATGTGTGTAACAGTCTTTGCCAGGTGCCTTATGTCTAGGTTTGTGTGTGTGCATATCCAGATTTTCTGACGTGGTTCCCCCTTGTCAGTGATGCAGGTTGAGGGCCTGACAAGGACAGCTGTCTGGTTGTTCAGGTTGGATGAAAAACATTGGTGTGCACGCAAAAGATCCCTTGGCAGTTAGAATTTGATATACGAGTAGGCCGTAGTGCTGCTGTCCAGGCAAAATTTCCCTCATAGTACACTGTATGGCATATGCCTGTCTACATTAGCCCAGTTCGGAGCAGAACAGTAGGACGATAAACCCCCATGTTATTTGACTTTGACACACTGTATTGTGTATGCTCATCTTTATTTACTTAGTAGGTGCAGAAAAATGGACAATAAACCCCAATGTTATTTGACTTTGACACACTGTATTGTGTATGCCCATCTTTATTTACTCAGTAGGTGCAGAAAATTGGACGTTGAACCCCATTTCATACTTTCCCTCCACCCACCCAGTTATAAATATTTGACAAACAGTCATAAATTTATTGCCATTGTATAAAACTTGATGTTCTATTGCAGCCTGCTGCTTCAGTGGTAATTGCTGGTCAGGAACCATTGACCGCCTCCATGTTGGCTGCTGCTCCACCACAAGAAAAGAAACAGATGTTGGGAGAAAGATTATTCCCTCTGATCAATCCTATGCACCCAGATCTAGCTGGTAAAATTACTGGAATGTTGCTGGAAATTGACAACTCAGAATTGTTGCACATGTTGGAATCCCAGGAATCTCTCAAGGGCAAGGTATGAAATCAAAATTTGCTTTTGAGCAGAGAATATGTTGACAATATAATTGGCATTAAAAAATCTTTTTTTTTCGGCATGGTTTCCCCTTGTCAGTGATGCAAGACAGAGGGCCTGATAAGGACAGCTGTTAAGTCGTTCGGATGGGACGAAAAACCAAGGTCCCGTGCACATTGGCCTGCACGTAAAAGATCCCTTGGCAGTTGGAATTCGATATAAGAGTAGGCTGTAGCGCCGCTGCCCGGGCAAAATTTCCCTCATAGCACACTGTATGGCGTATGCCCGTCTTCATTAGCCCAGGTTAGGAGCAGAACAGTAGGACGTTAAACCCCATTTCATTTCATTAAATATCTTATCTGCTAGCTCTTACAACTTTTTTGCGAGGTCAGATGGTTGTTTCCTGTTGGCTGAGAAGAAGCTAGTTTAATTGGGAAGAAAAACCAAGGTCACGTGAACACTGGCGTTTCGTATAAGAACTCTTCAACAGTTACAATTTCACTAAGAGTCTCGACAGAAGCGCAGCCGTACGGCATAACTAAAAGTAGCTGTCTCTAACTCAATATCATCAAAAGTCTTCGGCATTGAAAACACACATTGATGTTATCTTACTGGGAAAGGATGGATTTCTGATATCCAATATTTAAGACAAAATAAACATTTACCATTGGTACACGAATCGTGTACCATAATACGTTTCAGCGCCATTGAGACTCTGGTGTATTTCGCCAAACATAATTGATTTAGATATTAGAGTAAAAATGGAAATGATTGACTGTAAATCAGTTTAGGTCCCAAATATTAGTGATTTAGCTCCTTTAACTTAATACATGGAATTTAACTTAAATCCTTGAGTAATTTTGTTATTTGTTTTCAGGTTGAAGAAGCTGTGGCTGTACTCGTGGCTCATCAAGCCAAAGAGAGTGCTACAAAGAAAGGCCCTGAGTAATCTCCCTTGGAAAGGATTTAGCATTGGATCAGTTGTCACCAGATTCACAGAATTTCTTAGAGTTTTAAAAGGAACTCCGTTTCACCAACATACCCAAAAAAAATTTAAAATAATTCTGAAAAAAAAATAGTTTCACCTGGTTTACAAATCTAAAAAATTAACAAAATTTGTTACTTTAGATGTTTGGTACTTGAAGTTATTTAGAAAAAAAAAAAACAGTAAAATTTTGGATTATCAATAAAAAAAAATATTTACCAAAGTAACGTAGATTTTCTGAAATTGAAATTAAATTGAAAGTGGACTTTGACAAGCAAAGGAATATTTAATATTGTCAAAACTTCTAGTCAAGTAATTGACTTTTCAAAGCGTTCAGTTTGTGTTGGGCAAGTCAAAGTGTCAGCCTTAATTTCATTTTAGTTTCCGAAAATTAATTTTGGGATGAAGATCAAAATTTAAGAACTATTTAACAAAAAAAAGATGGGACAAATCTACAAAACCAATCTTTTCATGGAAAGATAAAAAATACAAATGATTAAAAAAAACTGCAAAATAATTTTTCAATTTGTAGATACTTGTTTATTTACATTCACTTAAAAAAAAAAAAACGCAAAACAAATTGCCAGTTTGTAGGATATTTTTTTTCTTTAGTTTATTAATGGAGAAATGGTTTACTATTGAGGATTATTTTCTTTTAACTTTTATTTTCTTTGTACATTTTTGAAATTCTTTGGTTAAAAAAACACTGTACATCCAATAAAAGAAGCTGTTCAGATTTTTTTGTTTCCTTTTCAAAGGATTGTAAAAATGTTATATTTTAGTTAATGATTTCATGTTAAGAGATCTTGTGATAGAAATTTTAGGATGAAAATGCATTTTAACAATCGAGTGGCAAATTAAGGAATTCCATCTGGAAAAAAATAATTGATTCAAATTTGATCCCCAAAATGGGTGTGGTTGTGATCAACAGATCCCGAGAATGGGTGTGGTTGTGATCAACAGCATCTTATGAGAATGCACACCGGAGATTAAAACTTTTAAATGTGAATGTTTGTAGTCTACAGGGACACATGAGAATTCATACTGGATAAAAACTCTATAAATGTGTTATCAGACATTGTCTTGATTTGAACTTAATGGTCAAGGGGGTGTCTCAGATGTTTTTTTAGTAAATTGTTTTCCTAGAGAAATCAGTCTATGAAAGAAAACAGGGAATTGGGGACGGATAAGTTTCTATGAATTATTTTTATAACAAGGTCTCTTCGAATTCAAATCTGTTTCCATATTATGTGGAAAGTTTCATATTTCTAGTTCCTTTCAACCAGTCTTTAATTTCTCTACAATAAAACTATCATTCTGGATTAAATATATATCTAGTTTGTTGTTATATATTCCCATATTGATATCTGCTCATTTGTAGTCATTTGAATGGAACTAAAGATCCAAGATCCTGTGTACACAACAGGGGGCACATAAAAAAACCCTTGACAGTTGGAATTTGACTGTGAGTAGGTCGTAGTGCCAAGGACTTTGAAAGGGTGGGGAATATAATGCAAATAAAGATTTTTAAGTGGAGTCTTCGCTTATGAAAAAAGACTTGCCCATTCCTGAATAGCTAGCCCATACTCCCATAACTTGGATGGTTCGAGACTATACATTGTCTGCCATATTAATATTAAGACTACCCTGATATCGCAAAGTAGGTCGTACCCTTTAAAAACCGCTACCCCAACCCACGACTAATAACTTGGATGGTTAGCGACAATACCTTGTCTGCCATATCATTATTGTGGAATACAAAACTATACATACTTATGGGGAAATATGAAAGCTCCTTTCCATAAGTATGGTTATAGTTTGGTTTTTTTTATACCCAGTTACTAAATCCCACTAAAAGAATACTATTGTGGAAGCACATTAACAGTTTAGTGGTCTGCCTCCAGTTGAAATTATTTCCCTTGAATATACCTGATAGAAAGTGCAGGGGGAGTACACCAGACATAATTACACAAAACAAATCTACGGAGGTGAAGGCTGTCAGTGATCGGGCTGAATGGAGTCTTTTACTCATTTGAATACCTATTTACACTAAATAGGAAATAATTTTTACCTGCAGTGTGGGTCCTCCTACCTTGGAGAGGAACGGATATAGTATCTTCCTACTTTCTCTTAGAAAAGGAAAACGGAATACCCAACCAGGTTTCTGGGAAAGCCAATTTGACACAGTAGAAATTTTTTTTTGTGAACTCAACTCAAAGGTGAGGCAAAATAAACCAGCTTAAAGGCCCTTTTTTTCTAAGGTGGTTAAACTTGGCTTTTGAATGGGTCTGCTTAAACTAGGTCATTTCGGGACTAACATCTGGTTCAATTTTAATTCAATAATTCGCTTCTGCGTAAGGTTCTTTAGCAATGGATGGAAACCCACGAGGCTGTTAAGGGCACCCTACTTCTTGTCTATGTACAAGCGGTGAATCGAAACCACGACACTTGACTCGATGACAGAGATTTCAGAAAATGTCCACGATGGCGATAAAACCAAATCCAATATGGCAGATCTATTTCGTCATAATGAATAAGAATCCCTAAAAATGGAAAACACCACATGCTTTGTGTTTATCATTGGATATATGTTAATTCTCTTTGAAAGGAGGGGCATTAATTTTACCGCTTCCTGTCACATGGCGAACTCATCCCCCACCCCCAGTCTTTCTACGTAGTATATATGTAGATAGTTTAATTCGGTTTAAAATTGAGATTGATCCTGACTCTGTCTTGTTGCATGCATCTTTCCTGTGGGTGGTAACCATAATACACATAGTAATGGGTTTAACGTCCTACTGTTCTGCTCCGACTGAGCTAATGAACACGGGCATACACCATGCAGTGTGCTATGAGGGAAATTTTGCCCGTACTGCTGTGCTACGGCCTACTCTTATATCCAACTGCCGAGGGATCTTTTACATGCATGCCAGTGTCTGTTGACTTCGGGTTTTCGTCCCAACCGATCAACTAGACAGCTTGCCTTGTTAGATTCTCCGTCCTACACCACTGACAAAGGGAAACCCCGCTGGAAAATCCAGATGAACTCTCTCGGCCAACACCGGGAGCGAACCGCAACCTCCAGGGTAGTGAGCCAGCGCCTTACTCACTTAGCCACCGTGTCTCCCTGTTACTAAGCCACATACACTCACACCAGGGATCAAAACAATGGCCGCAAGCCATAGGTCACCGGCCAGCTAGAGCTCGAAGCACAACACTATCACGAGTGTGATGAAGGCGCGCCAGCGTCCGAGGGGGGTCTGGGGGGGGGGGGGATCTCCCCCCATGAAAATTTTGAAAATTGACAACCACAAACCCATTTTCCAAGCATTTCAGACCAACGCAGAAGAAGGCAAATTTTTGATTTCCTGATACAATTAGATAACAGAATGACTTAAGAGCACTATCATTAGATGAATTTGAGAATTCTCTTCAGTGTCAAAAACAAAATCCTTTTATTCTCCTTTTTTTTATTTTCTTTTTTTTCTTTTTTCTTTCTCATTTTTCTTTATAGGCTTAGGCCCACTTTTTTTTCATGAGCTTAGGCCCACCTGTCACGGACAGATGGACAGGTGGACCCATGCAGTCCGGCACTGCACTATAGACCACTAAGCCATCCCAACCCATCAATGATTACTTAAAGGGCCAATCCCGATAATATTTTGGAGAATAAAAATGTTTAATTTTGTGTTAAAATCCCTTAAAATCCTCTACATAAGAGCCGAGCAACTAACTCAATATTTCTCATACGTTTTCAAACAATTTAAACCCGTCAGTCTTCATCTGGAAATGGAGACCAGTGTCCAAACTGTATTATACGGTGTCTGGATAAAACCAGACTTTTGTTTTATAAAAATAATGTGTAGGTGAAATTTACCCTTCGTTATGAAGTACAGCACACGGGTCATTCACTGTATAGACTTCTATACGATTATCAGGTCGCCCAACGAAAAAATTGACCAGAAATCTTAAAAGGGTTACGTGTCCGGATAAGCATTTTTGACTTTCACGTCCAAACGGCTCAATATTTTGAGCTGAAATTTTGAGACAAGGTAAATACACCATTTCTCTATATTTGGGTGCTTAAATACGTACTCGGACTTTTATTTTTGAGATTCTGTTCAAATCGGGATAGTCCCTTTAATTAGCAGGGAGTGATTCAGTATCATTGTTAATGGGCGTATGGCTCTATTCATTGGCACCTTAACAATGAAGTGATTTATATTCAATTTTTAAAAAATTATTGTAATTTCTAATGAATTATATTCGGTGAAATACGTGAACAGTTCAATTTGAAAGACAGTAGTTCATGCCTGCTTAGTCCATTTTCTTTTATTATCATTTTGTTTGTGAATCGGCCATTACTAATTACTTCCATATTGTCTTGTATGATATGTTTTTCTTTGTTCATTACAAATGGTGCCCGAAACTATAGAATACACGACTTGTATACTAACTTTAAAATGCTTATCGTATATTTAATATTGGATATTAGGACATATATTTTCACAGTAGGCCTATGATAACAACACCAAATCGAAATGGGCTACTATTGAATATTATGGAAAATGTTGATTTAGAGGTTTGGCTTCTTTAAGTTGACTATTATATTCACATTGAAATTTTTCATTTAATATTTTCAGCGGATGGGGCACTTGATACCATGAATGTTAACAACTTCAAATCTGGTGTTGGAAACGTTTTCATTAAGAATCTGGATAAGAGTATCGATAACAAAGCTCTGTACCGTACATTTTCTGCTTTTGGAAACATCATTTTTTGTAAGGTGAGCTAGCAAACCCATCATGAGAAATCTTATATTATCATTGCTGAATGAAGTGATGAGAAACCCAAGGTCTGAGCCTGGGTCGTCGATCAGTCCTGTTTTCCACTGAACCACCGTGTTTCAAGCCGAAAGAAAAGGCATGGAATGACTTCAAACCCCACGTCCATTGACCTCTGCTTCCTTCATAAAGATCATATAAGCATGTGTCCACCAATATTTTCTAATGTTTGAACTGCACATGAGTTTTTTTGTAGACGTTTTATGGTTCATATGAGCCGAGTGCAGATTAGAAAGCCAGGAGATCCACATGGAGGTAAAATTTCAATCAATTTGAATGTTTTCTTCAGAGCGCCGCTGGGGGGTTGGATGGCCGAATGGTTAGCATGTGCGCTGTATCATAAGGCCTGTCATTGAGTCAACTGGCGTGGTTTCGAAATCCCGGTTATACGGGACAAGGAGTAGGCTCGCCTGTCCAACCTCGTGGGTTTTCTCCGGGTCCTCCGGTTTCCTCCCACTGCTAAAGACCCCTACGCGCAAGCGAATTATTGAAATAAAATTAAACCATATGTTTGTCCCGAAATGACCTAGTTTGTGTCGAGTGGACGTTAAACCCCATTTCTCTCTCTCTCTCTCTCTCTCTCTCTCTCTCAGAGCGCCGCCAGCCAACACCGCTCCAAAGTTTATGGCTTCAAAGGTTATGGCTTTGTTCATTTTGAAACTGAAGAAGCGGCTAAACAGGCTATTGAGAAAGTCAATGGTATGGTGTTAAAGGGCAAGAAAGTATATGTTGGAAAATTCATACCCCAGCCTAAGCGTTTAGCAATGATTGATGACAGAGCTAAAAAATACAATAATGTGTACATCAAAAACTTTGGTGTGGAGTATAATGATGACAAGCTGAAAGTAGAGATGGAAAAATTCGGAAAGGTCATCAGTGCAAAGGTAAAGTATGATTTTGATTCTGGTAGTTAGAAGTTGGATTTTATAGTTCAATGTTTGCCATGTAATTAAAAGTATTTTTCATGACCTAAGTACCATAAACTCATTTTGGTATTTTTGAAAATTATCATTTTCAATTGAAATTAGGAACCATATATTTTTTGAACCCAGTATGATTTTATTTTTTACCATTTTAATATTTTTATAGGTGATGACAGATAAACAGAATCTATCAAGAGGCTTCGGTTTTGTCAGCTTTGAAGATCCAGAAACTGCTGAAAAGGTAAATTGGATTACATATTGATATAAATAGCCATTTTTTTTATTATACGTCCCCATTCATAATGCGGACGTATTATTTCATCAGAATTTACCATGGTATGCCTGCTGGACTGACTTGCTTTGTCTTTGAGATTTAACTAAGTAAAAACAGATCCTGTTAGTAAGACACTACCCTTAAAATACATTGGCAACCATAATCAGTATTTGTATCAGATGGATGATGAAACATTTAAACTGTTTCGTAAGTTTGACATCTTTGGTCTCGCTTTCAAAATTCTCCGACTCACAATTGCCTTCTAATCAATGCTAAAAATGAATTTGTTCTGAATTTTAGTGTGTAGACAATATTATGGGAACAGAGCTCAATGGCAAGACATTGTATGCTGGTCGAGCTCAAAAACGTGCTGAAAGGCAGGCTGAGCTCAAGGAGAAATTTGAGCGATTGAAGATGGAGCGAATTAATCGTTATCAAGGACTGAACTTGTATGTTAAAAATCTGGATGACTGTATCGATGATGAACGACTGAGAAAAGAATTCTCACAATTTGGTACCATCACTAGTGCCAAGGTAAGAACAGAATTTATAATGTTATTTTCAATGTTGTGAACATGCCACCTCTCACCCATCAATATTTTGACTGTTAAATTAAGCATTTTGTTGTGCAAAACACTTATTGTCCATGCTCGATTGTAAGTCCGGAAGGGTCCGAATTTACAGAATGGCAGTCTTGTCACAGTTCTGTCAGGCCTGACACCCGATTAGATTTTATTACATACTTCGAGAAGGTATTTGTTGAGTAATAAAACCTTCTAGTAGTTTATCGAGGGCTGGCCGTCCTTACCGCACGGTACAAATAAAACCTTCTAGTAGTTTATCGAGGGTTCGGGTGCTTCCGGAGTCCAAAATGGCCGCTTTATATAAATGAGAATTTTGGGGATAACTAACCCTAACCCTAACCCTTTTTAAAAGACTGAACTTGGGTCTAATTTAGTTTTTACTTCTCTTAAAAGGGTTAGGGTTAGGGTTCAGGTTAGTATTCCCCTAAATACTCATTTGTATAAAGCGGCCATTTTGGTATGAGTTCTGGCTTGTTCTGGAATTTGTTGCTTCTAGTGGTGATAATATTTGTACCGTGCGGTAAGGACGGCCAGCCCTCGATAAACTACTAGTCTAGAAGGTTTTATTACTCAACAAATACCTTCTCGAAGTATGTAATAAAATCTAATCGGGTGGGCCAGACAAACAACTGAGGTTTTGTGGGTAGAAGCGTGACTCGATTATTCATACAATGTGTTTCAGCTGTTTAGGTTGGTTTAGATAATTTTTATACACACGATTGTCTCTCTTTTTGGGATTCAAAGAATTGAATTCCCGTAACGTTTGATAATTTCTTCATTAGCAATTATGGGTCTAAAATGGTTAGCCCCTATGAACTGTACTGACTTATTGTTTGTTTAATTGTGTATCGTTATTATGAGGAATTTGTATTTATACACGTTAAAGGGATCTTGCGAATAAACAAATTACTTTTCCAGGTGATGGGAGATGGAACCAGATCAAAAGGAGTTGGGTTCGTCTGCTTCAGTTCACCAGAAGAAGCAACTAAAGCTGTCACTGAAATGAATGGTAGAATTGTTTACGACAGACCTCTGTATGTTGCTCTTGCTCAACGTAAAGAGGAACGTAGGGTTCATTTAGCTTCTCAATACACGCAACGTATTACTACCATGAGACAACAGGTTAGTGTTGGGGGTGGGTACCGTGTATTTTGTCATAAGGTCTGTTATTGTGTCAACAGGTATGGTTTAGATTCCCAGCTTATACATTGCCTGTCCATTCTCACTAGTTTTGTCTGGGTCCTTCGGTTTTCTCCCACTGCTAAATACCCCTACATGCAAGCGAATTATTGAAATAAAATTGAACCATATGTTAGACCTGAAATGAGTCGAGTAGACGTTCACACTCCCATTTCTCTCTACAATTTTGTTTCCCTGTTAACCGCAGATATAAAAGACAAATCCATTTTGTATTATAAAGCCTCCATGGTTGATGGGAATGGAGGGGGACAATTTGACTTATCTTGCCCTTCCATGTAATGTGCTTGTGAAATTTCATACATTCACCATAAAATTAGTATTCAGACAAGCTAGTCTGACTATTTTAAGGGGGATATTTTTAATCTTAAGCCTTTTGCACATAAGTATTAAGGGAATGTTAATCTCTTAGCAAACTACAATATTGTGAAAATTGTATCTCTCAAAGAAATATTCAAAAATGTTTCTTTTACATTCATTACAAAGATATGAATTGTACCATTTGGTATCCACTGTATAGGATGTGGTCGACACATACCAATGATTTCTACTGAACTTTTTTTTTATCCAATTGAACCCAATCTCATTAAAACACAGATCCTATTTCGTTTTGTTTTGGGGGGTTGGATGGCCGAATGGTTAGCACGTGCGTGCAGTATCATAAAGCCTGTCATTGAGTCAACTGGTGTGGTTTCGAATCCCCGGTTGTACGTGACAAGGGGTATGGTCGCCTGTCCAACCTCGTGGGTTTTCTCCTGGTCGTCCGGTTTCCTCCCACTGCTAAAGACCCCTACGCGCAAGCTAATTATTGAAATAAAAAAAAAATAAACTGTATGTTAGTCCCGAAATAACCTAGTTTGTGTCGAGTGGATGTTAAACCTCATTTCTCTCTCTCTCTCTCTCGTTTTGTTTTTTTATAGTTCAAAATTTTGTTTTATTTGTCTGCACTTCACTAAGGATCTGGAAGAGTTGTTATATAATCTGCTTTCTCGATGGTGCAAGGGATTAGCCCATGAATCCATCTGTTACGGCGACTTCCTGGAGTGCGATGCACGGAACTTTAGATATCCCACTAGAAACGTCGACACTGATAGATTAATCAATGTCTGACGCCATAGGGTTAAAAGCCATTCGCACGACCTCTGACCCGACCTTTTACTACAACCGGTCAGATCTTTATGTAGTGTAGGCCATCGAAAGTATTAAAAAAACTAAACGTAATGTAGATTTGTATGTTAATAAGATTGAACTCGAGCTGAATAATATCTACCATTGATGTTTGGGTGATTAAATCACTGTTTTGCTTTTCTAATCATAATTTTGGTCATTGAAGGGTTTTTAGGGTAATAAATGTGTTCTTTGTGTAAAATTTATTTGTCTTGAGGTAATTTGGTCGGTTATCCAGCTATAATCATCCCTTTCAATTTCAGCAAAATGCTCAGTACAGTCAGATGTTCCAACCAAGTGGAGCCGGTTATTTTGTTCCCCAACTGCCTCAGGCTACTCGTGGATTCTTCACACCAACTCAGATGCCACAAGTTCAAGCTAGTCCAAGATGGCAGGCTCAAGTCAGACAACCTGCACCAGGAGGAGGTGAGAAATAATATAAATATGAAGATGGTCTTGCGAGCAATTTCAGAATGCATTTCCCCTAAAAAAGCTAGTGATTGAGACACTGACTGACAATGGGGTTAGAGTTCGATCCCAGTGTTGCAAAAATGAAATGGGGGTTTAACGTCCTGTTCTGCTTCGACTAGATTAATGAAGACTGGCATACGCCATACATGTGCTATGAGTGAAATTTGGCCCGGGCAGTGGCACTTATATCAAATTACAACTGCCAAGGGATCTTTCGTGTGCATGCCAATGTATACAAAGGACCTTGTTTTTTCGTCCCATCCGAACGACTCCCAGTGTTGCCCCAAAAAGTTATGGAGGATTTTCTATCTTGGTATTTCGTTGTCTGGTGTAGAAAGAATGGCTTGTAAAGGTACAGTGACTAGTCGTTCGTATCGTACTAGAAAACAAGGGCCCATCCTGTGTAATGTTACTGGTTGCATTAAAGAACCCTTAGCAGCTAGAATTAAAACTTAATTATCCCCAACTGACTGCTGAAACCTACAGATCATGAAACTTTTGTAATAAAGCTAGCTTCAATGAAATTACCTTTCAATTAATTATAAAAACTAAGCCGTCTTGTAATTTGTCCAGGGGAAACAACTACATATAATATACAGTTCCTATGTCAGTTCAGACCACTAAAGAATAGTCCAACACACATTATGGAAATCATTGAATGAAATGTTTTATTTCCCAAATTTTCTTTCAGCAAGCTTCCAAGCTGTTCAAAGCAATCAACTTCGACCAGCTCGCTTCCAGGGTAGTGGACAACAGGGTGTAAGAGCTAACATGAACGCTCGACCTAAAACTGGACAAGCTGGTGGTCAGCCAGGTGGACAGAGAATGATGGGTCCAGGTATGCCACGAGGACCCCCAGGGGCTGCCGGTATGGCTGCACCCCAGAGAGGTGCCTTCAAATTCAACAATCAAATAGGAAATCCTCAAATGGGTCAACAGGTCATGTCACAGGTAAGGATCATATTGTTTAAATTTTTTATCTGTGTACACAATTCGTATGGTGAGAAAATTAATCCGGTGACAAAAAATATCATGGCATCTGGCAGTCTTTATTATAATATTTACGTTGTGTGATGTGTGTAACAGTCTTTGCCAGGTGCCTTATGTCTAGGTTTGTGTGTGTGCATATCCAGATTTTCTGACGTGGTTCCCCCTTGTCAGTGATGCAGGTTGAGGGCCTGACAAGGACAGCTGTCTGGTTGTTCAGGTTGGATGAAAAACATTGGTGTGCACGCAAAAGATCCCTTGGCAGTTAGAATTTGATATAC